AGAAAATTTCCAGTTTTTGGAGAGAAAAAATAAAAATTAAAAGAAAAAATTCTATGCTTCCCCAGAGGCTAATAAACTTCCCCTGTCATTTGCCTCAGAGTAATAAACTGTACATCTGCTTCATTTGGTGCTACTTATTTTGGCAAATTTGCTGTTTTAAACATTTGGTAGCTACTTAATTTGGTGGACTTGCAACATTACAATGCACTAATGGTACTACTTTATATGGTACTAAAATTGCAGAGGAATTTGGCAGATACTTAATTTGGCAGACTTTAATACAGCTGCCAAATTAAGTCAAAGCACAGTAACTAGTCCTGGTTTTACTGTAACGTCCTAAGTAGGTGCCCTTTGGGGAATGACCAATGCCAAGAATAATGCAACATTTAGCCAGATACAGACATGGAAAATTAGTCTGCTAAATTCAATGCCCCGTATAAGAATTGAACGTAACACCCTCAGATAAAAGGCCTGATGCTCCACAAGCTAGCCAAAGCTAAGGCTAAAGCTTTGTATTCACAAACGCAACTTTCCAGTGCCAGCTACCATAAATAAAATAAAATAAATAAATAAATAAAAAAATAAAAAAGACTGCCAGCTACCAGATTTACCTACTATTTCATGATCAACTCATTTAAAAATGAATGGAATAGTAGTAGGTACTATTCATATTTAAAAGAGTTGCCTAAAGATGATTGGTTAATCTGGTAGCCTACAGCCAAAAGTCGGATATATCCGTCACTCTGGGTATTCAAGAGGTTAAATATGAATAGTACCTGCCATGCTTCCTGTTAGCTACCATCTTTTCCTTCACACCCGGTCGCCGAGCTAAATAACGAGTTAATCTGCCTATTTAACAGCATGTAACAATGACCTGTGTTTTCTTTGCCAATGCAAACGAGTGCCTTTATTATATCGATCCTTTCATTGGCATAAAAAGTCATGTGATCACTGATCACTGTTCGTCGACTGATGGGTTGTTCGGAATTACAACTTCAAAATGACAGGTTAATTTATCAAAATAAAAAGGTTAATCCGGTAGCTGCTATTTGCATTCACGAATACAAGCTAAGATAGATGAAGTAGCAACTTGCTATATAGGGTTGCTACACAAGCATGATAATTAAGCATATGCGATTATAATTACTCGATCCATCATGAAGAAATGATATAATAACAAAGCATGTTGCTTGTTGATGTACAGATGTAATGAGAATCTGAATTCACCTAGCACTGCAGTTAGTTTTTATGCAGTTCATCCGTAGGGCAATACTGTATGCAGGCCCATAGCCAGGGGGGGGGGGGGGGGGTTGAGCGAAGTAAACCCCCATGGCAAAATCTGGCCATGGGACTGGTATGTTATGACTCTGGGGTGATTCAGGGAATAACCAAAGTAGGTGGTAGTGTAATAAGCCAGATATACAGACATGCAACAATTTATACAAAATTCAACATCCAATATGGGGGATGAACCAAATTACACCCTCATATCGAAAGCTTGATGCTTTACTGAAGAGCTACTAAGGCTATAGGGTAGTTATGCTGCTCAGGGTTTTATCGTATGATCTGTAAAATAAAGGTCTCTGATTGGTCAGTTCTTGTTCTGTACCAATCTGAATTGCTACTGAGGTTGTCCCCGTTGATCATCTCCGTCGTAATACAGAAAGTATTGGTACGGAGGGGACAATCTCAGTAGCAATACAGAGGATCACACAATAAAAACGCTATTGAATGAATTGAAGTGCAATACAGGATATATTCTGTTTCGATATTCTGTATTGGCACTCAACTTCGTCTCGTTCAAATACAAAATTTCTCGAACAGAATATATCCTGTATTGCACTTCAAATCATTCAAAAACTTATAGTATTACCCAAGAGGCCTTTAACGAACTTTACCTTCAAATAACACTGAATGAAATCATGACTGACGTGAGCTTACCTAATTAAATATATTATTTATAAGTTTATAGACATTGACTTGAACACTACGTTTCTATTAATCTGATACAAGCATGTTGCATGTTTTATACAAAGGCGGGCTGAATAATATAAATAAAATTACATTGTATCATTTATTGACTCTTTAGATGTCATGACCTGACATATTAGTCATTACAAAATGAATATATTGTACCACACTATACTACATGTAAGTCTAAGCTATCATAATATATACAATTTATACAAAAACTTGTTATTTACATATATTACAATATACTTTATGTGTGATGCACCCAAAATGCTAATCTCCAGGCAAGTTTAAGTTTTTGAATGATTTTGTAATTTAACTTCCAACTTGCTTCTGAACAACTGACTAATGAAACCTTGGGAAAAGTGGCATCTTGTTCAGAAATTCACAAGAGACCGTTGATTGCCAAATCCGCATCTCAATAACTTTCATTTATTAACTTAATGCTACTTGTATTTATTTGCAAAAATAAATTCTTAGCAAATACAATATTAGCCACTCTTGGCGTATAGTTTGCTTTATTCCTGCATTGCCATATTTCTATCTTTCCGTTTCATTTGAAAACAAATTTGATAATTATTCGTGGAAAAAAACATGTCTGTTTCCATGGCAATTCTTGCCTCAATTGCATTTTTTTTTTAATATTCTGACTAATTTTGTTGCATTTCTTGCATTATCTTGTTTTCTATACAAATTAGAGTGTCAACTAAATGTGGATTTAAACCATTCCTTGCTAATTCCACTCTTTTCCAAAGAATACTGCGACATTTTCCTCATGCATCGTCAAGGTTACAGTAACTTCAAGAATACATTTGTCAATCATTTCCAAATGTTATATCATTCCACAAGCAATAAGTAGTGTATTTACAGTCTAGTATGTTGTTGAATTAGCATAAATTGATGAAACGCAGAGTGTAGTTGACATTCTATATTTTAAGAAATCGGGTACTGGATGACATTCACCACTGATAATCTGATATCAGGCCTGTAGCTTTTACCAAGGGGGGGGGGGGGCACTTTTCAAAAAATTCCAGAGGGTTCACATTTTGCAACTTTGGCCTGAAATCACTTAAAAAGTGCTTGGAATGGTGAAGAACTGCATGATTTTGACCGAGCCAGGGAGTGGGAGGGGGGGGGGGGGGGGGTTAACATCCCGAACCCTTCTAGCTTGGATATAAGTTATGACTTTTCAAGAAGGATTCAATGAATTAGAAATATATATAATTGTAGATTTATCTTTCCTTATACTGGTAACCTATTTGAGGGCCTTTTCCATGGCAACCTGCAGCTGGTAGTCAATGAGTAACAAATTATAGGGGTCCACATTCAGGAACCTGTTGTATGCATAATAATAAATACAGTAAGACCTGTCTAAGCGGAACACCTTTGGTACCTTTAAAAAGTGATCTACATGGAAGATTTTCCACTTATACCAGGTCGTTCAATAAGTTCACGGAAAAATGCTCTCATTTCAAAGATTTAAGATATTTTCTCATGAAATGTTCACACAATGTGTAAAAAATACTTTCTGATTGATTCTTAAAATATCAGCATCTCTTATTTGATTGGTCAAAAATAAAGGTTACTATGGTAACTTGACTTTTGGGTAGGCGGGGCACTTTTTACGTCACACAATTTACCATTGCAGAAAATCTATCAATATGTGCAAATGAAGGATCCCTATTTTTTTATTTGTTCTTATTCAAATTACAAATGTTGTGAAATTGATGTTCATTGTTTGCATGAACATTTCTGAAATCCTGCTAGTCAATGCTGTACCAGTGGGCCAGAAAATCAGCAAAAAGTAATGCTATGGTAAGTTGATTAAAACCTAACTCTAAATTTTTCCATCGGGATAATGCAGCCGATCACACTGGTAATATGGTGCAGGAAACCATCACAAATAACTGGCAAAATAGATGGCAAAGCTGCCCCAAGTTACATACTCTCCAGATGAGACAATCCTTGATTTTGCTGTTTTCACTAGGATGAAGGATCAACTAAGAGGTGCACTTTATGGAACAGTGAAACAACTTTCGACTGCAATCCAGATGGGCCTTCAAACAAGTTTTCCAGATGGCTTCAGAGCATGGTATCGTCAATGGGTTGAATGCAAGCGACTGTGCATTAAACATGAGAAAGAATATTTATAAAACCTTATGGGACAATAGTTGTGACTATTACATTAAGTAGTAGTATGTACAAGTAGAAAGCGGAGGAGAAATTCATGTGATATACTCATAAATTGCCTACTATTCTGTTTTCTGAATGAATAATGTGACGTAAAAAGTGCCCCGCCTACCCAAAAGTCAAGTTACCATAGTAAACCTTATTTTTGACCAATCTAATTAGAGATGCTGATATTTTGAGAATCAATCAGAAAGTATTTTTTATACATTGTGTGAAAATTTGATGAGAAAATATCAAAAAACTTTGAAATGAGAGCATTTTTCCATGAACTTATTGAACGACCTGGTAGAGGTTCATTTTTATAAAAAACATCAAATTATTTGGTCTTGGGACTCTTAAAAGTGCTCCACTAACCAAGGTTTCCCACTTCCAGGTGTTTTACTTTACAGGTTTCACTGTAGTGTGTTTCCTTGAAGCATAACAATCTACAGTATATAACATTTGTGCTATTATATACAGTGATCTCACCAGCATTAAAGCAAGTGGGCGCAGTACCCACCTAATATTTTGAAAATAGGCGTGCACCCACCTGAACTTCTTTTTTGTACCCACTTGAAAATGAGAAAAATTGGCATACTTTGACAAATTTTGGTCTGAATTGTAAAAATGAGAATTCTGCACCCACCTGAAAAAAATCCTGGGGAGATCACTGATATATTTGAATTCTGATTATACTTAATAATGTTGAATTTCAATGAACAAAATTTTCAGGAAATCGATCCAAAGAAGCAATCTTGTCAGTAAGGATATGTGACAACATTTTTCTTAATGAAGTCAATGTAACTTTTCAAAGAAGGCAACTTCTATATATATGTATTTTTTCATAAAGAAGTACTTACATTTTTTCTACTTCACTCGATGTCTTTTTAACATAATCATCATGTTCCGGCTGAAAAATAAGAAAAGAAAAATATAATTTGTATCAATTAAGAGAAAATTGCATTTTACAATTTGAACATAATAAGACAAGTAAACAAGCAAACACTGTATAAGATGAAAATACAGCAATATAAGATGAAAATACAGCAATATAAGATGAAAATACAGCAATATAAGATGAAAATACAGCAACATAAGATGAAAATACAGCAATATAAGATGAAAATACAGCAATATAAGATGAAAATACAGCAATATAAGATGAAAATACAGCAACATAAGATGAAAATACAGCAATATAAGATGAAAATACAGCAATATAAGATGAAAATACAGCAATATAAGATGAAAATATAGCAATATAAGATGAAAATACAGCAATATAAGATGAAAATATAGCAATATAAGATGAAAATACAGCAAACCTCATAAAATGAACATACGACAAAACCTGTCAAGTCGAAAACCTCTATAAATGGAATACATTGCATGAGTGAAAACGTTTGATAGTCCTGTAGTCATTTATTAACTTATTGTAAGTGTAACAGAGCTGTACGTTAAAAGCCTCCAAAGTGAAACATGATTTTGAGGCACCAAAGGACTTTCCCTTTCACAAGACATCATCCTAAAATTTGAACATTAGCAGCTTATGTGTCTTTTACCCTATATCGAAAATAAAGAAACTGAAAAATGTGTTTGAGGGAACAATATTCCTCTTTTGTATATTATATTGCCTTTTGTAAAGAAATAAAAGTAAAAAAACTTCATCAAAAATGTGACATTCAGTTTTTCTGTATTCCCAAAAATAATTGAAATCACGAGCTTTAAGTACTTCCCCGTGTTCGTTCCATTGAATAGGTCTATTAGTTAATTAAGGAATAAATAATGATAAGCCATTCAATATGGTGAAATTCAGCACGAGTTGGACAGAATGTTGTACAAAGCACGAACCGAAGGTGAGTGCATTTGTACTAACATTCTGTCCAACGAGTGCTGAATTTCACCATATTGAATGGCCTATCATTATTTATTCCGATTCAAACATAAAAAATTAGTAAAAGCCGTGTCTGTGGAACGGGCATGAAGGAAGAATACGCATGCTGTCAAGATTCTGAAGTCGGCCGGAAAATTTTTAGAATTTGTTTGGGCTGTTCTATTTTACTCCCCGTTTTAGATTTTATACGGTGTATGCAAACATGGGGTGTTGATAAAATAAAATTCAAACATGACCGTGCGGAGGGAGTTAAAAAGAACAGCTATCCCTGGACAGAGCCCCAGATGTGCAGCTGAGATGTGACGTCACTCAAAACAATGAAAATTGCAGATTGAATAGAGCATGGTCGTGCATCTATGGAGAATTAGAGAACGTTCTATATTGGCTATGCTGCATTCTGATTGGTTGAGAAATTCGAATAGAGCACGGTCATGTTTGAATCTGTTTTACATGACATTCATTATCACAAGTACTCACAGGAAATGGATTATTAAATACGGGACAAACTCAAGCCAATGAAATTACAATGTAAAATAACATTAGTGAATGTCACAATGGATTACATCTAAAAAGTGTCCCAAAATTGGAATTATGTTGAATATATTCCAGCATGGCTTCAAGTGATTTTCATCTGCGGTATCATCTGTATTAGGGAGGTTAGCTACACATTTTTGAGAAAATTAATGTATGCTAACACTGAACATGTTGAATGATTCTCCTCCAGGGATTAGATGTCCCCTTCATGGTGTTTTCTTGCCCAATTGAACACAGAGGTGTATTAGGTTAATATTATCTTGTCCCTGGGGAACAACATGAGAGGGGATGATAATTCCTGTGGGTCATGATATTACACCTTCGCATAAAAGTTATCTTAAAAATGTGAAACTTTACTTCCCTAATACAATCGGCACAGAACCCTGGAACTTGTGTTGATTTCTTTATTTTGAAATGTACCGAAGTGTAACGTATGAAATGTTGGAAGAGTTCTTTTTTGGAATATAGCATTAGGCTATTTTGACACCAAAAGACTCAATTTGACATATAACCTGACCTTTTTGACTTTTAACTGCATAGGCGTAGCCAGGAGGGAGTGCTATGGTGCTATCGCAACGCCCCCTACCCCTTTTCCAATGAGAATATAACCATCAGAAAGAGGAAGAAAATAGCTTTAAAATGCATTGTATTTGAAGCTTCTAGCTCAATTTTGAAAGAAGTTACATCAATTTTTGTAAAATTCAAAACAAAACGTTATCTTTTTTTGGGTTGCTTATGCCATGATCACACCCCCCCCCCCCCCGACTGAAAACCGAAATTTATTTGGCAATCGCACCCCCCCCCCTGACTGAAAGCTGGCTACGCCCCTGAACTGTATATCCCTACAAGTATATAAACATTTTCGTATACATGTATATAAATGCTTGCCTTTTTTGTAATAGACTGACTACCCTTTTTGTAATAGACTGACACCCTTTTTGTAATACACCGACATTTTCTATAATATATGTAGACCTTTATAGAATAGAATATATCAATACATTCTTGGAACGAATACAAACCTTTTCAGAATTTGAAATGCATGGCCAATAAATCGAACAAAGAATATAAAGGCTTTAGGAAAATACCAATGCTTAATTTATGGTTCCAATGGGCTTGTACATTGATTTTTTTAATTACTTTTGTATCTAACATCAGATAGCGTGAGAGTTACCAGTTGTACAAAACACTAGAGAAAAATGTTGCATCATCCATTTTGTCACATTAAATCCATTTTGCCATATTAAATCCAAAGCAAACTAACATTCGGCTATCATTCTAAATAACGTTAAAATGCAAAATATCAAGATTAATTCATGAAAATGAATGAGGAGAAGATATTAAAATATATTGAAATCTTTAACATGGACAGTGGCATCAGCAGTCATGCAGCATAACTTAATTAATAATATTTCTAATTTCATTTGCCCGCATTGTCCACTTAACAATCAAAATATGGGCTTGCAAATTACGCACTATTCGCACTCTGATTGCTTCAGTCAATTGGCAATAATATTCTGATTCAATTAACTGAAATTTGATTCATGTAATTCATTTTGATTATTCAATTGCCTTTGAATTATAGTGTTTATCTCTATTTTATGTTATCGTTAGAACCTGGAGAGGGAGAATTAAAGAAGTGACAATGATATATCCCGGGGGAAGATATAATACATGTACAGTATACAATTGTTGACCTCTCCAGAGGTCAACCGAAAAAATTGTATACCGAGACTGTAAACCGAGAAGGTCGAGGTCAACAGTAGTTTCAAGGTTTACAGTCGAGGTATATGATTTTGACGGTTGACCGAATGGAGAGGTCTACAATTGTTTTGTTAGTCTGAAGAAACTAATAATACACATATAGACGACAATCATCAATCGGCTTCATTTCACCATGGACTTCTAACTTATTTGAAGTCCATGATTTCACAATCTTTTCTCCGAACCACGCCAGCAATGCGTACTCATTAGTAAATTAATGTTAATTTTACGTTTCTATTTGTATTTTTGCTATATTTGTCGTCTAGTAAAGTCAAAATATCACATTCATCAATGTTTAAGAACGTCAGTCTGCCATGTTTTTCTTTAAACATTATGACGTCATATTCCCATAATTCACAAGTGTAGTACAGTAACAAATGCGGTCAACAATATGATATCCCATGATGCACAGGTGGGGTACAGGCAAAAATGTTGACCGCTAATTGACCAATCAGATGCGAGTATTCACACTGAGGTACTAACAATAGAACCTGTATATCTGGACACCTGGCAAATCCAAACACCTACCAATCAAATTGACTCTGATGTTAAGAAAAACTTGAAATGTGAACACCTCTCAATTTGAACAGTGATCAGTCATATTTGAAAAATTAATCTGTCTACAGTAAAATTTTAAATGTTTGGAACTACTTTGAATTTAAAAAATTAGCAATCAAAGGACCATATTGAAACAGTATGTAAAAATAGAAACATTTATACATGTCTTAACTTTTGTATATTTTAGTTTGTTTTGTAGTTTAGCTATCATATCTGTGGCCTCTTACATTTTGATGCTTCTCTGCCATGTTATTTTTGGAAAAATTAACATGGCTGAAACTCCCTAAATTACAAAAGGCCACAGCTTTGCTGCACATAATACACAACTATCTAAAATATACAAAAGTTAGGACAAGTAGATATGTTTCTATTTTTTATATACTGTTGCAATATAGTCATTTGATTGCTTATTTTTTAAATTCAAAGTAGTTCCAAACATCTAAAATTTTACTGTAATCTGAATACTTTTCATAAGATTTCACAAAATTGTTCAAATATTGTTATGATATCAAAACTTTGGGAAAATAACTTGAATGGTCTTGATTATAATAGGGCTTTCCAGCATGACTAGATTCATTCATTTCTAATTTCTGAAATGCCGTAAAGCTATGTGGTCAAATGAACTATAAATATGTACCGAGAATGTGTTCACATTTATTCAGAATCTGGAATCTCCCGATTGCAAAAACCACGAAATGTGAACACCTCCTAATCTAAACACTTTAAGCCGATGGCGTTTTGATTTGACAGGTTTTACTGTAGCCACTTTAAACATGGTATGCAGGACCTCACCCAAACCAACCAACAAAGATGATATATTGATTTTTTTATTGAGCCAAGCTGTACCTTTCTTTGGGTTATATAATATACATATAAAATTGATACAGTTATTGATTTCTCAGAAAAACAGAACAATTCATTTTATTGAAACTAATATGTCAATACTCTACAACAGCTTATTTAAATATATATGCGCAAATGCCAAAGGGAAGGGTGACTAAAAACTTTAAAGAAACCAATCAAGAAAAGCAAACTGTAAGTGTAAATCTGTCATAAGAAAAGTAGACCCTAAAACCATGATCTAACGTGAAAAGAAACAATGTCTAACATCGGTGGTGTTTGAAATAGGTAAAGAGATGAAATGAAATGAAAAAACAGAA